AGAGGGGTGGGGGGGGGGGGGCAGGTAAAGCAGATGACGACTGACAGGGAAGGGTCTGACTAGTCTTGTTTGGCTTTATTGAGGCCTATGTTGTATGTCCTCGAACTATCTCTCGATCAACCCCTGTTTTTGCCAGCATGACAGCAAGCACGGACTGGCATCAAGGAGTTGACCAAATGGGTTTTGTTTCTCTCTAAAATGAAAATTTCACATGATAGATTGACTAGCAGGCTTAACTTAGGGGGCAGTTGTTTCTCATGTGCTATTTATATTATTAGTTGGTTTAAATTGTAAAATGTGCTAATGCTGTTATTTGGATACTTGCATACCCGTGCATGTTTTCAGAACTATGCTTGACTTTTAAAACATCATGGTTTAATGAATGATCATTTTTTTCTTCTCAAATTTGGTAATATACTTTGTTTCTATTTTTGACTTTATTAAGCTCCCGTTTGACCCCCATTAATTTTCATTACATTACATTCCATTTTTCTCTCTCCTATTTTCAATCACACAATCATCCATAAAATAATATTACACGTAAATAAAAAACTTTTCCTTCTTTTTCAACCACTTTTTTTCAAAAAAATACTATTCCACTCATTTTCATTTTCCGAAAATGGGGGCCAAACGGGGGCCAAATAAAGGATCCTAACCTAACTCTGTTGAAAGGTTACAAAATCGTTTAAATAAAACACAAATTATGCAACTCTATGTGCATAACAATTTGGAAGTTTTCATAAGCATGGTGTAACTGTTTATCATATTCTCATTTTTCTTCTAACATTCTTTGGTAAACCAGGCACCATTTTAAAGAAATAAAGAAATCTGGGGCTCATGACATCTTACAGTGTTTTATTAAATTTATCTTAATATGGCAAAACAGCCTCGCAGGTAGTGCCAACTCTTTGGGTGGTACTTTCACTATGATTTCAAGTAAATATTAGTGAGAACCACACGCAAATTAATGGAGGGGCTCACGAGTATCAGAGAATTATAATGATGGACTTTTGTAGGTTCTTGGGAGGGGCAGTTCGATAACTTTTTATTCTGAAAAACGAAAATGTTCTCGGAAAACTAGACCTAGTATTATTTTCAAGTTGGTTCTTGCTTTCTTAAACTGAGATTTGAGTCCTGTGTCTTGCTGACATTCATTAGACTGACAATTGCCTCTGTGATATGTTTGAGTATGGCTAAGAAGTAGGAAAATCTTTAAAATAAACTTTATTAAAGTTTATATCAATGTCCATGTGTTTAACATTTATGAGCAATTCTTTCGCAGTTACAGAAGTCGTGCTTTAAAATGGTGACAAAACCTTGGCCATGATTTTCTGCAGTCTACATTTTATTCCTATTAAGTGAGATAGGCATGTTCTAGAAAGAAATTGCATCCTTAATAAGCAACACGTTCTAAGAAAATGCAAACAGATAGTAATGAATTTCACCCTCTCCTTTTGAATGATATGGAATATGATGATGTCAAGGTGTTCATTGATTTATTATTCAAAATTTTCTGTTGAAGCAAGCTTATTTCTCAAAGATTCTATTTTAGCATCTAAGCAAGGTTATGTAAAGTCTAGAATGATAATTTTGAAGCATGCGTAACATCTCTCTCAGTTCTTCTAAAAGCCTTATATGATGTTAGTCATAACTTATAAGCTATTGAGTTTGTTGTCATTAGAATTTTATGTTCGGTATTTTAAAAACTCAGTTAGTTGTTGGGAAATCATCATAACTTTAACTGTGGCATCTATTCCTGCTTTTTTTTTTCCCCTGATGATTTGTAAGACCATTGTGGTTTAGTTGAATTTTCTTAATTCTTTAACCTGTTGATTTTGGTTCTCTGGATCCACTGTGATTTTTTCAGCTACGACCTTAACGAGTTGGCATCTTCTTGTCACATTTTGTTCTCTTCATGTTGTCCGATGGATGAAATTGTTCGAGCACAAGCCATTTGATCCAAGAGCTGTCATGGGATTTGGCATCCTGAATGGGACATCTATTGGACTTCTTAATCTTAGCCTGGGTTTCAATTCTGTTGGTTTTTATCAGGTTAGGTTTTGCAACCTACTTGAAAGTAAGTTTCCAAATCATTAAGATTTCTCAATTTTTTTTGTTGAATAATAGGAGATTTTTTTGCTTTTGTCCCTTCAAAAATAATAGACTGACGTTCACGGTCAGTTTTATAGTTATAAGTTGGGCAGATCTGAAATTAAATTCCTTTATCTCTCATCCGAGCCCTAAGGCTATGTTGCTTGAAATCTGGCAGGAGTATCAAATAAAATTCAATGTCCAAGTTCAGTGATGTTCATTTTTGGAGTATCATAGAGTCATTGTAGACTATCCAATCCACTCAAGGGATTGGATAAAGGTTTTGTTGCAGGCACAAGACCTATCTAGAGAGTTAGAAAATCCAAGTAACTTAGAGCCAACCCCAACCTCTGTAGATCCTTATATCTTGAAATAGTTGCCTGATAGAGAAGCATTTGCTTTGATGTCATGCAGTCCAAGTATCTAATTGCTTTAATTGTCGTTTCTCTAGTTAGTATCTTATTATCTACCAGGATGATTTCATTTAGATAATGCATATTGGAACTTGACCTGTCATTTGGTCAATAAGGTTGGAGGTTCTACTCTGACAATTATCTCGATTAATTTCATGTCAGTAAAACTTGTACAGATTCTGTTGTTTCATCTGAGTTGCAGTTTCTCGACGTTTATATTTTATGGTTCTTGCTTTGTAGATGACAAAACTGGCCATAATCCCTTGCACGGTTCTTTTAGAGACTATTTTCTTCAGGAAAATATTCAGGTTAGATCTTCGCCATCGGTTTGATTCCAGATTTTATCTTGGTAAACTGTTTTTACAATCTAAAAACAAAAGGGGGCAATGCAAGATTGGCCGTTGGCCTTGGGCAAATGTCCTTTCTTGTTGATTCAATTATATTTTGACCTTTTTTTGCTTGTGTATATCTGTTCTTGTACAGATGTATTAGGTTTCTGTTTATTGAAAGAAAAAAATATAATAACCATATTAAAGTGCATAGCGCGTGCGTGTGTATTGATGAAATGCGATAATAAATTTATAGTTTCAACTTGACAAAGAATTACATTTTAAGTTAGTATATTGATTTTGGTGATTCTTATATGGAGTAAGTGGTATAATTGTAAGCTGATTGTGCTTAATGTCATTTGGACCTTGGACTCTTGATAGTCTTGTCTTTTTTTCCCCCCCTTTTTTACGTCTGGAGAAGCTGTTTAGACCCTGTTGCCAAGGCAAACCAGTGAGCTGAATCAAGGATATCAAAGCAATTAAAATAATAAATAATAGAAAACAGCAAGGCAAGCTCAATATATTTCTCTATTGGAATAATTCTGTAATGCCATCAAGTGCAGACTCCTATTCTCACAAAAGTTGGAATTATATTGAAATGTAAATGACAATAAAGAAATGGATAATTGGACTTTTGAGAGTTCTAGGCTCTCCCCAGTTCTCCTGATTTTTTCAGACCCCATCACCACCCTCTTTCTCTGCTTATATACTAGCCACTAACCGATTCTGTTGTGAGCACATGCTGGTTGTTTATTCTTTTTTGCCTTTACCCTACCCTTGCGTCTTTGGTATTTAATTTGGATAGGTGGCCTATCAGAAGCCCTCGTGGAAGATGAAAAGAGATTAAACTGCTATTCCTTCGTGGATAATTGAATGTCTAGTGAACTCAAGTAATTTTATTTTGTGTTCATTATGTTTCAACTATTTTTCAAATTAACCTCGAAACTAATTCTAGTAGAAGTTGCTCTTGGCGAGTGTCTACGGGTAGATGCATAGCAAACCTGATGCAGCATTCCAATTTCCCAGAGTTTTCTTGCAAAGAGCATGATTACCCAAATCATCAATACCCTTGGGTGGGATAAGAGTAGAACACACAACATTTGACTGAGAGGTATTAGGAACAAGGGGTACAATACCTAGAGTCATAGGAAAAGTCCGAATACTATCTAAGGGGGTGTCCTCACTGTCATCCAATTCATCAAATTCTTGAAGTTTAGGTTCGTAGATTTGATTTTCTAATCACTCATCTCTCATATTCTTTTGTTCTTCAATGAATAAGGTTTGATTAGAACATTCAAAAGAGATGTAGCCAAAGTCCTTGTAGTTGAAGCACTGCAAATGAGAAGAAGTTATTAAAGTTTCAAAATCTTGACCTTTATTGTCCAACAGAAGAGGAGCATTAGATGGGAGAGAACCTAGAAGGGGTTTAATAGGAGAAGGTGGTGTTGATGAGACGAAAGGGGGAATATCACTACGCCTTCGATACAAAGAAGAAGGTCTTAGGATATCATAACCTTTACACTTATTTTCCCAAATGGGAGGAACATTGGACGAGAAAGGCTCTATGATAGACTTATGACGAGGTGGCGCTAATGGCATGGGTGAACGATGGTGATCGCGCTTTTCATATAGAGTGCTAATAGTCAATTCATAATCTCTGGCTAAAGAATAAGCGTGATCAAGAGTAGTGACACCTCGAAAGAAAATCTCACGCCTAAGATCATCTCTTCGACCTTGACTAAAGCTACTCACAGTTGTGGTCTCATCCTCGATGACATGACATTTGGTTCGAAATTCCTCAAAGTTTGCAATATAGTCAGTCACTAATCGATTCCCTTGTTTAAGAGTAGTCCATTGAGTAAAAATTTCAAAATCTAAGCAACTATCAAAAGTAGAAGTGTATAATTTAGTGTCCCTAAAGAAACTCTCCTTATGATGAGGAAGAGAATGAGTACCGTGACGGTCATAGGCTCGTTCTCGTCGACAAAGTTGTTCCCTATCACTACGATCGTATTTAAAATATTTTTGATCTCCTTGTCGAAGACGATAATGTCTATGATGGGATACTTCAGAATTATCAACGTCGATCAAAAGAGGAATTTGCTTAAAATTGTTCAAATTAGCAGAGAGGGCCTTTCTCTCTTCAAGAGTAGCAGTCATTTGGGTTTGGATAGCTGCTATTTGTTGAGTGAGTGCATCAAATTGTAAATGGTCCATGTTAGGTACAGAAACTAGAAGTGACAAGACGGCCAGTCAAACACTATGAATGCACTATATTAGTAGCTAAATGACATGCAATAGAGAGATCAATGAACAATGAGTGTAAGCAATGAAAAATAACCCGAACCATTTTTATTTTTTTTTTAATTTTAAATTTGGAGGACTAAGCAAATCCAAATATTGCAAATTAATATTGTTGATATATGTAAAACAGCAAAGTAAGGGTTAAACACTAATTAAAAGACTTAATCACTTGAAATAGATTGAGGGGTTAAAAGCAAGTCTACAAATGATGAATCAAAATCTCACGCGGGGTAAATGGGGAACCAATGGGAGTTAAGTCATTCAATGATTCTGATAAAGTGTGGTTAAGGCTAATATTGTTAAGGTAACAACAGCACAAAATTTTAATTGATGTAATTTTAAAAATGAAGTAGTAGTATAAACTAATACTAAATAGAGATTAAGGACTCCCTGTTATTTAGTTGCTTGAATTTCTGAAATGTGGACCCCAGTTATGCTTGTGTCCTATCCTTCTTTGTAGATGTCTTCCACTCTAAAAGTCACTCCCTGTTGATTGTGATTTATACTGGTTATTGCTCTGGCTCTGTTGTGCGTTGAGTTATAACTGACGGGCAAGTGGAATTGATCCCTATTGTTAGTCGTTTATGTATTAAATGGGATGTGATAACATGTGTTAAGTGGACTGATTTATTTTAATTCAAGTAATGGGTTGGGTTATTTTTGAGATGTTGGAATTGGGCTAGGAGTAAGTGGTTGGATGATTATGATGGGAAGTGGGTTGTGTATGGAAGGGATAATGGGTTGAGTTAATTGGGTTTTAGGGGTTATTGAGCTGCATGGGTTTGGCTAGGGATAAAAGGAATATATTTGTGAGTATATTTGGATTAGGTTCTTAGGATTGAAAATTTGTGAAACAGCACTTAACAGCAACAAACGTCTAAAATGCTAAAATTGATTTTTTTTATTTTTATTTGGCAGAAAATGATGAAAAATACTAAAACTGAATTTTTCCCCCGTGAACAGTATATATATCTCTCTCTCTTTTTTTTGGGAAAGAAAAATACGAAAATTGAATTTTTCGGGTGTGAATAGTACCATGAACAGTACACACAATTTTTTTTTTTCACAGAGACAGAGAACTAAAAAAAATGAAAAATGCTGTTTTTATGCTAAATCTTTTTCAATTGTGCTGTTCCAACAAATTTTGGGAAGAAAATAAGAAGAAATTTTGGATTGTATGAGAGGAAATACCCAAGATTCGATTTTGATACCAAATTTGATGCAGCACCAATAGAAAAATTAATGAAGAAAGTGAAAATCAATGAATCAGGAAGAAGAAATCAGGGGAAGGGATGGAAGAAGAAAAAACTAGGGGAAGAGGAAGAACGGGAAAGAGGGGAAATTTCGCCATAAGCCCCAAAATATTATTCATTCATCAACTACTGAAATTACATCGCAATTAGGTTTAAATAGTGTAGACTAAAAACCTAACTAGAATGGATTTGGGCCAATACAAGCCCAATTACATGAATAAAAATCTAAAACATAAATAAAGTCCACAAAATAAAATAAAGTCCAACTAAAAATAAAATAGATGATGTCCTCATCAAAACTGCTCTACATTTTTTATGCTGTGGCCTTTATTTGATCCAAAGAGAGAGAATTATTGAGAAGTAAGCTATGAATCTCAAATAGTTTTCTTGTTATCGATGAACATGACTGAAGAGATTCAAGTTGGATCTAAAATAAAAAACAATCCCGTGTTCCAAGTTTTGGAAGGGCAACTGTCCATAGTTCGATTATAGATCGGACAGTGTTTCTTTAATTTTTGTTCTAATGCCTTAAGCTCCTTCAACTTAAGCTTTATTTGATACATATAGATTGCTTTTTTCCTACATATTCCAGAATTTAAATCTATTTTTGTGCATGCATTTATGTTGAAGTTTGACTGCTAACACGTTCTTCACTACCATTTGCAGTAGGAATGTCCAGCTTTCACTTACTATTCTTCTCGTGGGGGTTGGAATCGCAACAGTGACTGATCTGCAGCTAAATTTTCTGGGTTCCATCTTGTCTCTGTTTGCGGTTCTTACAACTTGCATTGCACAAATTGTATCCTCATCTGTTCTCTGCAATAACATATCCCCTCCCTCGCCCCACCTCCCTCTCTCCCGATCAAGCATGCTTCTTTTTAGACCATTTTTCTCAAGAAGAAAAATGTTCTGTCATTTAACTTTTCAAGCTGTTCAGATACTGAAATTTCAGCAGTTTGTTACATAGATTTGGCCCGCAACTATTTGAGATCTTAACTGAATACACTCAGATGACAAATACTATTCAGAAAAAGTTCAAGGTTTCGTCAACCCAACTCCTGTATCAATCTTGTCCATATCAAGCAATCACTCTATTCATTACTGGACCATTTCTGGATGGGTTTCTGACGAATCAGAATGTATTTGCTTTCAATTATACCCCTCAAGTGCTGGTGAAGATCGAAACTCAATTCCTTTCAACTGTTACAGGCAGCATAGCGCGTTAACTTTATTGTTTTTTATTACAGGCATTTATTGTCCTTTCCTGCCTAATATCAGTTTCCGTGAACTTCAGTACCTTCCTGGTAATTGGGAAAACATCACCAGTCACTTATCAAGTCCTAGGACATCTAAAAACATGCCTTGTTTTGGCCTTTGGCTATGTTCTCCTACACGACCCCTTTAGCTGGCGAAACCTTCTAGGGATCTTGGTTGCAATTGTTGGGATGGTACTTTATTCTTATTATTGCACAGTTGAAAGCCAGCAAAAGGCTGCTGATGAAGCAGCAGCACAATTGTCTCAGGTACTTGCAATACTTCTCGTCTAATATTATTCATCCTCTCTCATAATGTTGCTGCTTTTTCATTATATTTAGAAAATGGAAAAATTGTTTCATTGGTCCTCTATTGTTCGAGTGGCAAGTTGGCACCAACCTTTAATTATAGCTGCACGTGAATCCACCCCAACGACAGAAAGCATCCAATTTTTTGTAAAATTGTCTTGTGGCTCATGAAAACATGCACGACTTCTAATTTATGGGCACTAGCCCAAGTTGCGAAGTAAAATCTTAGCTTCAATAGTTGAACGTTAGGGCCATATGTCCATTTAATAGAGACTTGGACAGGAATTGTGCAAATGAATCAGAAGGTTGATAACCAACTTGTTTCCTGGGCAATGGTCGAAAGCTAACAGTGCAGTTTTCACTTAGAAAATCGATGTGCTAATGCTTTCTTCCTTTTTATGTTTGAAGGCCAAGGAAAGTGAATCCGATCCTCTGATTAATATTGAAAGTGAAGGAGGCATTTTAACCGAAGGTGCTCCAAGAGGCACTGGATGGAATTCAGCCAAGGACCTGCAAGCATAACATTTCCTCTGTCTGAGTTCATAACACAATTCAAAATATATGGGCGAAGCTTTTCCAGCAATGAAGATTTCGCTGCACGGATTTCCATGCTTGGCAGATCAAGAGTTTATGCATATGAAAGGATTAAACTTCTATTTGTTAGTATCGGATCTTAAAATTGTCCTTTGATGGAGCAGTTTTGTATAAACTAGGCTTCCCAATAGAATTGATAATTTCACTGGTATTGTTTTTCCATATCCATATCCGTATCTTAGAAAAGAATCCTTGATATTTTCTTTGATAAATTTTCCCTTATGAAACAAATGAAGAAGTTGCAGCTTTGAGTATGAAATACAGGTTAATGAAATTCAATTAATTCAAAAGATATGATCTGAATTATATCTACTCGAGTATAGGTCTCATTTATTTGAATAGTATAAGAAAATTCAATATTAATTTTAATTTCAATCCATCGAAGATGATTGTCTTAGTTTAATACACCGTGATGATTGTTATGTTCTTTAAGGTTGATTGTCGTCGTACCAAATTCGTAATCGTAACCTGACACGAGCCAAGTAATTAGCCTTTGTTTGGTGTGGATTAAAATTAGATTTTTAGTAATTTTGATAAAAGTTAATGAAATGGCTAATTGAAAAGTTATGGAACCTATGAAATATATGATTAAAATTGATTGTTAATTTTAATTTAGATGAAAATTATACAAGGATTAATAATGTTTTTTATGAATATAAAAATGTATTCACTTCCAATAAATAGGTGATTAGATCAAGATTTAGAAATTGATAATTAATTAGCAAACGATCCACATGGACAAGTTGCAAATCTAACGTACACAATCTAGTATCGTGTCTCTATTCCATCTTTAATTTCGTCTATCATGTCAAATTATATTTTCTAAGGCCGTGTTTCTCATATATAAATTCGACTTTTCACTTGCAAAAGTGTAGGGCCCTTATTGAAATTGAAAATGACGAAATTAGGCTCTTTACGCTGAAAAAATAACAAATTAGATTTATATCTAAAAACTTTCTCGCTTAATACTTTCATCTCCTTTCTCCATATCATAATCGACATACACAAATTCCACCCCAGTCACACCAGAACCTCAGCCACCGCACTCTCATCTCCATTTTTCATAATATCGCCTTCCAATTTTCTTTCTTCAACCAAAATTTTATCAATTCCTCCTCTTTCTAATTCCTTGTATGCTTCATCACACCTCTCATTTTGTTATGACTTTCTCACCAACCAAAGTGATCGTCCTCTAAAATGGCTCCATCTTCACCCACAAATTCTAATGGGTAACTGCAGCAATTCCGTTATTTCGTCAATCATAAACTGTAGTTTGAATTTTTCCATTTTTATTAAACTATATAGCCCATGTGTTTCATAAATTATTTGATTTTTAAAGTTCTCTTGATATTTCTAGTTTTTCTGTTTGAGTTTGTTTATTTCGATTTGATGATTTTGTTTATCGTATGTGCAGGGGCCGGATGTAAGGGGGGACTAAGCTGGGCTGTAGTCCCCCCAAAGCCAAGAATTTATTTTTTTAAGGCTTTTTTTGTCGTTGGTATTAGCCTGTTTGAAATTTTATAGTCCGATCTTGAATCTAATCCTGGATTCGCTCCTGCGTATGTGCTAAGCGTATACCTGTTGTTATTCTCGAGAAAAAAATGGATTGTTTTCGTGTTTTTGATTATATTTTTAATTGAGATTAAGTTAGTATTGTTGTAATTGTAATTAAGTTTCTTTAAGTATGTTATTTTATTACCTGGAGACTGAATTATGACATTTGAAAATTAGGTCGCCTAGTTTGAGTTTTTCTTTTTATTAACTAAAAATGAAACTATAACTAAATTGCTTATTGTTGTCAATTTCAATTTCATATATTTTTCTCGTGTTAGGATTTTCGGGAGTCTCTAGTATTCATATTCCAGTTTCTTCTCCAGTTGTTAATAGTCATTTTTGTTTTTTGTTCATCTTTGTAGGAATTTAAATCATTAACCTAGGAAAAGCATGGGAAAAGCTTATGATGACCGCAAGGGTTATTGTTACTATTGAGAATCCTCAAGACATCATCGTTCAGTCTGCCAAACCATATGGTCAGAGAGCTGTCTTGAAGTTCACACGGTACAATAGTGCTCATCTTAAGATAAATTTGTGTGTCTTTGTTCTAACAAGAGAACATATGAAACTACCAATAGAATTTCAAATGAGGAAAAACCAAGGCGTAGTAAAAGGACTAGGACTTCCAAGACATTTGGCCCAAATTTTCTAACCTTTATGGTAGAGGAGGATCCAAAGACTTTCGATGAAGCAATGTCTACACCAGAAGCACCGCATTGGAAAGAAACTATTAATAATGAGATAGATTCTATAATGTAAAACCATACATCGGAGTTGGTTGATTTACCTCCCGGTAACAAGTCTTTAGAATGCAAATGGATGTTCAAAAAGAAATTGAAAACTGACGGATCCATCGATAAATATAAGGCTAGATTGGTTGCTAAAGGATATAGGCAAAAGGAAAGACTTGATTTCTTTGATACCTACTCACCTATGACTAGAATCATGTCGATAAGGTTGTTAATTGCAATTGCTGCAATACACAATCTTGAGATTCATCAAATGGAAGTAAAAACAGCATTCCTAAACGGTGAGTTAGAAGAGGGCATTTACATGGAGCAACCTGAAGGGTTCATTTCTTCTAACCAAAAACACAAAGTGTGTAAATTTGTTAAATCTTTGTATGGATTAAAACAGGCTCCTAAACAATGGCACCAAAAGTTTGACAAAACAATGCTGTCAAATGGATTCAAGATCAACGAACGTGACAAATGTGTATATATTAAACATATACCGTATGCCTATGTAATTGTTTGTCTATATGTAGATGACATGTTAATAATGAGCAATAGTCACGAAATGTTGATTAACACCAAAAAGATGCTAACAAAGTACTTCGATATGAAAGATATGGGTGTGGCAGATGTAATCCTAGGGATTAAAATCTCTAGAATGTAAGATGAAATTGTACTTTCACAATCTCACTACATAGAAAAAAGTACTTAAGAAGTTTGACGTGTTTGAAGAAAGTCCTGCAAGAACTCCTCTTGATCCGAGTATGCACTTAGTCAAGAATACGGGAGAAAGCATATCACAACTAAGATATCCACAAATAATTGGCAGTCTTATGTATCTTACAAACCGCACTCGACCGGATATTGCTTTGCGGCGAATAAATTTAGTAGATTTACAAGTAATCCAAACTGTGATTATTGGAAGGTTTTGACGAGGGCTTTAAGGTACTTGAAGTATACCTTAACCTATGAATTACACTTCACAAAATATCCTACGGTACTAGAAAGATATTGTGATGCGAATTAGATATCCTATATGAAGGATTCCAAGTCCACTAGTGGTTATGCTTTCACCATTGGTGGAGCTGCTGTATCATGGAAATCAACAAAGCAAACGTGCATAGTTCGATTAACGATGGAATCTGAGTTTATTGCTTTGGACAAAGCTGGAGAAGAAACAGAATGGCTTCGAAATTTCTTAGAAGATGTTCCATGTTCCCAAGCCAGTACCTGTGATCAATATATATTGTGATAGTCAATCAACAATTGGAAGGGCTCGAAGCACCACGTATAATGGGAAGTCTAGATATATTCGTCGTAGACACAACACCATTAAGCAACTGATCTCAAATGACGTTATCTCCATAGATTATGTGAAATCAAAGGAGAATATTGCGAATCCACTGACAAAAAGTTTGCCTAGAGATCAAATGCGTTGCTTATCGAGAGGAATGAGATTAAAGCCTACTACGTAAGAGTTTTTGCAATGGTAACTCTACCTTGTTGACTGGAGATCCCAAGATCTTGGTTCAAAGAGACAACTAAGTTGTGAAAATTCCATGAAGGACTTAAGAAATTAGAATTCCTAACTCATTCCTATGATACTAAAGTGCTTTTTGCAGAGTAAATAAAGGCTAAAATTATCTTTTAATGATTCCTATATTTTGATTAAGTCAAGTAGAGTATGGCAGAATACTCTTAATAGGAGGTCACCTATGTAAGTGTGAAGTGGGGCTGCTTCGATAAGCATTGTTTAAGGTTTGAATTCTTTAAACACTTATGAAACCAAGAAGGGTTCAGGGCCAAAATGAACCAAGTCATGAGAACTAAGTACAGAATAGGGAAGATATCTGTGTAAGTACTGTTGTCTTGACTTACACCAAAGGCTGAGTGATTCGAGACCTATGGTTCACCAATTAGCTGAGTAAGTCCGATAATATTTCACTAAGGGAGGTTCAAGGCCAGAAGTCACCATCCCTGATGCAGTATTTTTTCGCACCCTCTCTACATTGCATCATATCATCGCATTTGTATATACGTACCTGAATTTTCATTCATGTAGGGGATTGTAGAAATTGGTTCAAATATTAAATGAAAAGGTGTGTAAAAATTGAAAAATGAAAAGGTGTGTAAAAATGGAAAATGAAAAGGTGTGACTACGTGTCAACTTCGATCAAATATTCGGACTTGATCCGATGGTCAAATTACAAAAGTAAATAGACCAACTTATTCTACTCGTCGTGGTATATTTGGAATCTCGAAACCAATTTTGGATGAATAAGAAATTACGGACCAAAGTTGGAAGAATTGAAGTGTTGCAACTTTTCAAAAGGTGCTGGTTTTGGCCAAGTGTTGCAACTTTTTTGAAAGGATGCATGTTTTGGCCTATACTACTTCATTTGCACCCTTTCTACATCTATAAATAGAATCCTATGGATATGGTTTTGGATACACCAATTGCATTGAACATTCATTCTCCTCTTGCAATTCTCCTCTTTCTAATTTTGTAGCATTTCATACATTTCCTTTGTAGAGAGGAAATTCTGTCAAAAGTTCGTCTGTTTCTTGTGGTTTGAAATGCTGTTACCACAAGTTGTGAATCCATTGTATTTTGGGAGACAAGTGTCATTCACCGTGAGCACCGTAGTGGGGCAATTTATCTTAAGGAAAGCGATAACGTCTCGCCTTGGATTATTCTCTATTTCTACTCCTTTTTAATCCTTGTTTTGCGTAATTTTTATACCGAAACTCTATCCAAATTTTCATTCATATAAATTGTGTTTTGATCACGCTCTTACGGGTTAAAACTGGTCAAACAAATATATCAAAAACCAACCTTTACATAATCCTTTTTATAAGTCGTCTCTAACAGCTTGTGCAATTGCTGGTCATACTCATGGAACATTCACCAACCAGCTTCAGACTTCCCTGCTGACTCGAGAATTGATCATCAAGTGAGCACTTAAGTGTACCTGGTGCAATTCTCTTTGGATTAATCTTAAATTATTGATTGGAATGCGGGATTGCTTTTGTTATGTTATCTTCTCTGCAGCCTATTAATAAAGCCGCACTTTCTAGCATCCTCGCCATTGATTTCTATGACACGATTCCCCAATGAAGTATGATGTTGACATTGGCATCCGTACCAACAAGGGAAAGCAAAACAGCGATTGTCTTTTCTGGCTCTTGGAATGGATGGCCGCAAATGCGTGATGACATTGCTCCCAATCACAAGGGGAAGCACAACATTGGTTTTGTGGAACTCTTGAGTTCGTTTCTCCCTTTTCTTATTATATGTATTGGATACACGATAAATTTTTTTAATGCTTTGACAAATCGTAAGATTCAACCTTTATTATTATTATTTGCTACATGCAAAAGATATGGTTTATCACAATGTAATTTGTGTAACTTTTTTAATGTGTCATTCTTTTTAAATTTCTGTCACTTTTTTGAATTTTTTGTCACATTTTTCAATATTTTTCATTGGTTTTTTTTTCATTATTTTTTTCTTTGAATTTTTGTCTTTTTTAGTCACCTCATTGATTTCTATCATTTTTTTCTCTACCAAAACTTTTAATAAAGTAAAATAGATGCTAATTATTCAATAGGTATTTGACACTTTTTGAGTGTTTGTTACCTTTTTTGAATTTGTATCATTTTTTTTTTGAATTTTGTAACTTTTTGAATGTTTGTTACCTTTTTTTTTTAATTTCTGTTACTTTTTTGAATCTGTGTAACTTTTTTAAAGTTGTCAATTTTTTAAATTAGTCATTTTTAAAAAATTTCTGTCACTTTTTTGAATCTTTGTCACTTATTAAAGTAATTGTCACTTTTTTTAGTATTTGTTACTTTTTTTTAATTGTCTTATAGTCTTTTTGAAATTTCTATCACTTTTTTTAGTGACAAAACATTAATTTTTAATAAAAGTGATATTATATGTAATTTTTTAATAAAAAGTGATACTAAACTTTTAAAAGTGATATTGTATCAGTTTTTTAAAAAAAAATGACACAATTTTTACAAGAAGTGACATTGTATCACTTTTTTAATTTTATACAGTATTTTTTACTTTTAAAAAATATTTCATACGATTTTTCAAAGGACCCTGATTTTAAGGTTGTTTTTATAAGTTGCCCATTAAAAATTTTCATACTTTTTGTACTAAAATAAAATGAATTATTGCTATAATAAATAACTTTACTAAACCGAACCATACCCGACTTGATGAACAAGCCCAATGGACTCTAGGGCTTCAGAATAAGCCTCACATAAATTTCCACGAACTGTGAATTTTTCTCTCATCAGTTCTCTGAAGTGCGCGAAAACCTACAAGTCAATCGACAATGGTAAATGTTACGTTTAATTTATCAGAAAAATTGTTTAACGACTTTCTTATTTCCCTATAGTTTTTCTTTATTTTTTTGTATGTATTTGCAGACATTCAAGCGGAGGAACGGAGGACGCAACAAGCATGGCCGTGGACACGTTAATTTCATTCGCTGCTCAAACTGTGGCAAGTGCTGCCCTAAGGTACTTTTTAGTTTCAACTACATGAATGTTTTGTTTAAGCGGAACAAAAATTCGTAAAGAAGGAATGAAATTCGTGACAGATCTGATGCTTATGTTAATTATTTATTTCATCTGTAGTTTTTATTTGCGTAGGAAAAATGAAATTGCATTTGCTGATATTATCTTTCAGCGAGAAAAAAACAATATTCAATTTTCCTATGTGTGATGCATTAGATTGGATGCTGAATTTTATATTGGATTTTCTAAATACTGTTTGTCTGTTAAAACTAAGTTAATGGTTCAGTAGCTTCGCTAATACGTACTTGTTAATGACTGAATTTTAACTTGAGAGTATGGAGAATATCCACCATAGTTTAATTGATGACTGTGTTTCTCCGTCCATCTGAAAACTTGATTAGTTTATCATATGTTGCTTTATTTTGGATAACCACTCGTTGCTTCGAGAATAGAATTTACTCTTGTGTAAAATCTGGCTGCCTGTAGCCCTGTAGGTCTTGAATTGTGGGAAGATTTGGTTGTCAGTTCATTCACATGTTTCTTTGACATATTAAACATAGTGCCTAAGCTTGAAGTTTTTAAAATGTGTATAAATTATTGATATCCAGTTTTACAGAATCAGTTTATGAAGAGGCTTCCATCATATCATATGTACCTTATATTGTTCCTATGCTTTATAGGACAAAGCCATTAAGAGGTTTCTCGTGAGGAACATAGTTGAGCAAGCTGCTGTAAGGGATGTTCAGGAAGCATGTGCTTTCGACAGTGAGTTATCCACTTTCTGAATTACTTGTTAGACACGTGTACACATTCCTTATTCCTGTCTAGAGCGTTTTAGAATGACCATGTAATCTCTGATAAATTATCTAATACATGCGTTCTTTTAATTTCTCTACCAAGTGTACACCCTTCCCAAGCTATATCTGAAGATGCAGTACTGTGTTTCTTGTGCCATTCACTCCAAGGTTGTTAGGGTCCGATCCCGTACTGATAGGAGGAACCGTGAGCCACCACAGCGCTTCAGACGTCCAAGGGTAAGTTTTTGCAATTTAATTTGATCTGCATTGTAAAGTTACCAGTAATCTCTTGTAGTAAATCTACCACTTGTTCCTCTTCAAGTAGCATTTTTTTAATTGATTGTTCTATAGAGACTTGAATCAGTCTATTGAGTTTTGCTTGCAATCTCTCTCCCTCTCTCCTTCCCCAGAAACTCATATTTATTTGAACGATGCTTTGCCAAACACGATTTTCAAATTTACTTCAAACTTTCAAGAGACGTGATTATTAAGCCTCAGACCTGAATGTTGTACAGCATAAAGTGTCAGATATTTAATTTGGGATATGCATAAAAAGGCTGTGATTCTAAGATACCTGCACTTTTTGTCAATCAATAATATCATTCAATTTAGGTGTAATATATGTGTCATGGTCACTTTTTAAGCCATTTTCCCAGTGTTTGTGCTCTATTTAGTGTTGGTTTGAATATTTTGCTTTCCCTTTTTAGGTCGGCTCTGGTATGCATAATACAGTTATGTAAAATCTTTAATTGGGCATTTTCAACTTCTTTACATTTGAGACTAGAATCAGCTGCATTTTTCTCGTTGTTTCAATCCATAACCTTTATTTACTTTCCTGATTAAATTAATTTTCAATTTGTTTCCTTAATTGCAGGAGGATCTACCGAAACCAGGTCAAGGGCCACGCCCTGGTGGAGCACCGGTTGCTGCCCGTGCTTAAAAGTTAAAACATGCTTCTCCGTCTTCTCAATTACTGAGTTTTGGAACTCAGTTATGGCAATCATTTTATTACCATGGTTTTGACTTATAACCAGTTTTTTGACATATATTGTTTAATCCAGTTTTTTTGTCGGACCAAGATCCATGTGATTATGTGATTTCCAACATTGAAGTATCTCATCCCGTGCTAATCAATGTATTTCATTTTTCCTTCCAAAAACATGGCCTTGGAAGCATATTGTTTTGGAAGATTTTGAGCTAATTCTACAACAGTTAGTAGCCTAAAAGAAGCATTCTCGTCAACTTTACATGCTCTATATCACTTGTACATCTATAATAATGAGGAGTGGCAATACTTGTGTTTTGAAGGTTGATTAGATTTTGTATTGGTAAGGATGTTAGGTATCCAGGTTCAGGTTAGTGTGTTGTAAAGTGTTTTGTTTGCAGTGGTCGTTGTGTTTTTATGATGGGAGTAGGCTCACGATGAGTGGCTTATATCTGTGGCTCGGGTTTTGTTTCGTAAATTTTAGTAGGCCATTGATTGTATGGCAAGGCAAAAGTACGTTAGAGTGGAGGTGCAAATTGGATGGGTTGGGATGGATAAACTGATATTCGAACTGGTCCAGAGTCAACGTGGTCGGCCTGTCGATAAAGGACAGGTTTGTGCTTAGATTGGGCACTTGTTGAGTTTTCAGAGGTGAACACGGATTGGTGTGGATTGTTTTTTGCGTATTTTCATATCAATTCATTATAATTAGTTATGAGTTTTTCTAGATTGAACGGAGCCTTTGTTTGGTTCCTATTGCCTAAATATTTTATATGATCCATGATTTTTATCAATTTATTGTTCACATATTTTATCAACTATTGTAACCTGGAGGGATAACTCAGTGGTCAGGTCTTGGATTTGCTTACCAGTGATCACGAATTCGAGTCCATTCAAGGTCAATGAGGTGAGTATCCGACTATAAAATTCATAATTTCGTGGGATTAGTCGAGTTGTGCGTGAGCTGGTCCGAATTCCTACAATCATTAAAAAAGTTATATTTTATCAACTATTATTATAAATCCTACTGTTGTGTAAAGTTGAAAATCCATGTAGACACGTGCATACTCCGTCTCTTCACAATCTTGTTTATACTTGGTTATTCTCAAAGTGAAAATATGAATTTCGAGAGTATTGGCATTTATAAATATTTGATTTTCAACTTGTCTTCGTAGATGCGCAATCCATATAAATTATAACATTAGCCTTTATTGTATCCCTTAAGCGATTTGGGTTTCCAAGTGCATAATGATATTGGTGGGCGAAAGTAATGTCTCAAGAAAAGTTTCGCCACATACATTAAAACTGCGTTCTTTATCGAGGAGTGGAGATCTCAATTCAAAACTTTTCTATCTTAACTTGAGATTTTGCTATTTCAAACTTCTTCTATAATGTCGCTTGAAGATATTACACCAAAAAAAAAATTCCTCGATAAAAAATCGAAACTACATCATAAAGTCATTTTTTAAAAGTAAATGAAAATTAGAAAAAGGAAAAATAATTTGATAAGCATTGTGCTTAATTTTCGCTAAGTGTTGATATTATGTCAAATTAATTTTTGATGAGTAAGTTTATTGTGAGTATAAAATTTTAGATTAAATTTATTATTCATTAATGAGTTGATATCGGTACTTGATATATCTTTTCTCTTAAAATACTGGGTTAAATTTTAAAAGCAACCATGATATTTTTGAGGCAAAATCAACTATATATCTTACAATAATAAATAAATAAATAAATTTTATCCTCCAAAATTTTTTTATTGCCTGAGTCTATGTGCAGGCCACTCAGAGATAACAAAATTTTGTTACTTGTGCACATAAAGTATTATAAAATATGATATGAAGAAAAAAGTTTGAATAAAAAAGTTGATTGTATTTTAAACTGATAAATAGTAGAGTGTTATGTGACATTATTTAATTCATTATGTAAATTTTAATATATATGTAACAAGATCCCAGATGACTATGTTGTTACACAAGTGTGCCTCTCTCTCTCTCTATATATATATAAACACACACACATTTAGCTCTCGTTTGTTTCCCATTATTTACTCATTAAAATAAAAAATATGATCGTTTTCTATCATATCAAATCACTATATTTAAAAATTTATCTTTTATATAGAACTCGTAATGACTATATTTTTCATTCTCTTTTTTCTATTAACGTGGTTCAAACGAGGCGTTAAAGATAAAATACAAACTGTGTTTATGTTTGTGCTTGTGCGCGTGTTAGGCGGTTAAAGAAGGACTAGAGTTCCAAAGAAGGAACCCAACAACCCAAATTATACCTGCTATTTTTTTCTTCATTTCTGAATTTTTTCTTGTAAAGATGAAAGCCAACAGAGACAAGCACACCCACATATACATACGTGTGTATTTGTAAGTAGCAGATTGTTAAAGTTGCAATAATTCACAAAAAACCCCCAAATTTTAAACCCCTCTTTTATGTTTCTAACATCAAGAAACCACCTGTAGTGTAGAAAATAGTGAAAACCATACACGGGTCTTCTAATTCTTTTGCTTGATTTTTACATGGAAGAACAACAAATAAGTAAAAAACTGAGTATGGGTGTTTTTGAGACCGTGGATCAAAATGCCGGCGATTTCGCGGGGGAAGCCGGCATGAATTTTGGTTATGGTTTGTGGCAGAGCCCACCTCCTGATCCGGAGGCAATAAATGCGGAGTGTTGGGCCGCGGCAGAGCAAGCTGCTTGGCAAGTGGTGAATTATATGCACCCAACACTCGATTCCGAGAAGAAGCGAAAAGGAGTCGTCGATTACGTTCGTAGACTCTTCAAACATGGCCTTGATTGTAAGGTGGATGCAGCTTTTCTAATTTCTTGAAGTTCCATAATTTTTTGTACCCATTTGTAAGAACTGATTTTATGAGTAGTGTGGTTTATATTTTCTGCGTTCTGTGGGACGTCTAATCTGTTAATTTTTATGTCTTGAGAAATTACACTGTTTTAGAGGTGTATTATGATGCATCATGATCATACTGCACTTTATTAAATTGGGGTGGTGGTTTAAACAGTGAAGAATTAAGAGTAAATTCACGTGTCGCATATTTGTTGTTGGCTGCTGATAATAGGAGGCCAGTGTTCACACGAGCAGTGTTATTTTTTAGGTTTGTCTATGTTTTTAAAAGAATTTTAGGAACTGTTGAAATGACTTGGACTATGAAAATGACCAATTCAAATAAAGAGCAAGGGAAAGATAAAGGAGCATCATCCACCATGACATAGGGAACTGGAAGCATAAGCTTTGAGACTCATCATGAATGCCTTGCATGAGGTGTGCCTCAAGGCATGTGCTTGGGGTTTTGAAAACATTGGGATTGGGTTAGTATTTTTCTGCATCCGGTTACATATTTCTAGGGGTGTGTGTGTGTTACTAACCTAGATGTTTGTTCTGAGAATCTTATCAAAAAGAATGGGGCTTGCAGGAATCTGGATGTTTATGCTTATAGTTGTAATTTCATCCCGTCTTGTACTTATTGAAGTTTTTGATGGCTTGATTTTGCTAATTGGCATTCTCATGATGTAGGTGTTCCCCTATGGGTCAGTGCCACTCAAGACGTACTTACCTGATGGAGATATTGACTTGACCATCATTAGAAGCCCTAACATTAAGGGATCTTTGGCCCATGAAATTCTTGCTGTTCTAAAGGGGGAAGAGCAAAATGAAAATGCAGAGTATGAAGTTAAGGATACCCTATTGATTGATGCTGAGGTAGTCTCAAATCAGATATTCAATGACAGTTTTGTCGATGGCCCAGAAGATATTTTCACGTGCCAAACATATATTACTGTCATCCCACTAGTGTTATATTTTCTTTCAACTGCTGAATCATATTCATTTTGATAATTTAAGTTGCATTTTGATGTTGGTTTTCTGTATTATGTATTTACCTTTTCTCTTTCTAAAGATGTCCGTTCAGCATCTTTTGTCATCTTCAATTTGAACTCCCCATTCAACTATTATGTTAAGATCGTGTCCTTATCTAAGTCGGGTATGATGATATGCTTTATATGGTTATAGAGGATTCTACTGCACAAACTTTTATTTTCTTATTTTTGAGGTATTTAATTGCACAAAATTTAAGAGATTCCGTCTCTCGGATTGTCAATTGACAGAATATTTGAAATCTTAAGGATTTTTTTAACTTATACACTTATCCCCAATCTGTTTGGGGAGTGTTACAATATGTCACGCCGCAGAGCTGCTGTTATGGAACTGCTGCATCTTTTGATTGTTATCAATTTGGCTAGACATTGATTATTTGCATGTAGTTACATTTTAGATATTTATGACAGGTCTGTGAGGTTCCGAACTGATTGTCTATGCTTCTCAATGACAGGTTAAAATTGTGAAATGCCTTGTAGGGGGTATGGTGATAGATATATCCTTCAACCAGTTAGGTGGACTTCATGCACTTTGTTTTCTTGAACAGGTAGAATTAATGCATCCCTTTAGTTTTGAAATGTAAAAGAATTGTAAAAAAATTGCTCCAAGTGTGCTTGGATGCCCTTTATGTGACTTTCTAGATGCATTTGCTTCCTTTTGTTTTCACTTTATGTTGTCCCCTGTTTGTCTCCCATTCTTTCACAACTATTTTCTCTACATACCCATTTTCAATCACACATTCACACAATAAAATATTCTACATGTAAATTCAAAACTTTTCTCTAGTTTTTAACTACACATTCTTAAATTCACTTTTCAAAACAATATTTTTCCAAAAAAAAAGGGCCACCAAACAGGGGCTATCATATGTTTGTCCAAAACAGCTGAACCAGAAATCATTTTGTGTATCTTCAAGAGGTACTTTATAACGGTTAAACAAATTTTGGTTCTTATCCTTTGGTCTACAGCCACTCAACAACGAAAAAATTCCCCGTTTTATTTTTTCCTTTTTTGTTGAAATCAGTACTCAACGATCATCCTTCCCACCCTATGGTGGCGAGGGAATGTGGAGTCCCTTTTGAACTTCAGAGTTTGGCTGGTTGTCTTGGAATTGGTATCTTGGCAATCTAGAACCCTGAGTCCGACTATATGAGTACAAATACTTATTTTGTTTATGTAGGTTTTTTCCCGCTTTAATATTTTCAAATGAAGATTTGACCATGACAGAGTGGATGATGGATAAAAGGTTTTAGGAGATGACTAAATGCATGTATTTACTTCATCAGTAATTCCACCTAAAGTAGCTCAATATTTTAAAACACTGTTTCACTTCTTAAGATTTTATCAAGTTATTTATGAATAAAAACTTTTGAAGTTGCACGGTGTGCTTTTAGTCACTTACAAAATTCTGGGGACTTGTTTCTAAATGCAGGTCGATTGCCTCGTTGGGAAAAATCATCTCTTCAAACGTAGCATTATTCTGGTAAAAGCTTGGTGTTACTATGAGAGCCGTATTCTTGGAGCACACCATGGTTTAATTTCTACATATGCATTGGAAACTCTTGTCCTCTATATATTTCATAGGTTCCATTCATCCTTAAGTAGCCCTTTAGAGGTAACGACCTGTGATATGCAATATTGATTCTGAATTATATACAACTGCTTGCAGGAGTTTAGTTTATTGAAATTGTTTGTGTTAAAAACAAAATGTAATTAAATAACTTTATACCCTTTTTAATAGATTAAGTTTTTGGATGGGTGGTTCAACATTGTATCAAAGTGGATAGAGGTCGTGGGTTCAAGTTTCATAATCACCCTTCATGAAAATTCTCACATATTGGGCCTTTGATAGAAAAATGAATCTGGCGAGCACAAGTTGAAGAATTTGTCCCCGTTCAAACAACTTAAGCTTTTAGATAAAGCGGTTCAGCAGTTTGCGTGATTTGACTACATAAAATTTAACACTTTGAACTATCTAGAAATTCATGTACGAGTTCAATTTACTATATTCTTTGCATGTTTACAGGTACTCTATAGATTTTTGAAATATTTTGGCCAATTTGATTGGGGGACTTATTGCATCAGTTTGCAAGGGCCTGTTTGTATATCATCACTTCCTGATATAGTGGGTAAGTAATGCCTTTGGATTTACCTTTAAGATAATTTCAATTCATTATTGGTTTTTGAGTGCCTGCCTGTCTGTCTTTCTTTGACTTCTGTCTTTTCTCTCTGTTATGTTTTTGATTTATTTCTATTAATTATAGCCTTCCTTTTTCTGATTTCTTTGCAGTTGAGATGCCTGAAAACAGACTGAAGAATCTTATGCTAAGTGAAGAATTTTTGAAAAATTGTAAAGAATTGTTTTCAATTTCATCTCAGAGCCTTGAGACAAAACCGAAAGCATTTCAGAGAAAGCATCTTAATATAATTGACCCACTGAAGGAAAACAATAACCTTGGGCGCAGTGTGAACAAAGGTACTTACCATGGTTGCTCAATTTTGTAAAGATTTTTCTTGCACTGATGATATTAATTATTTGGCAGAAATAATTTATTTAGTTATATTTTCACGATGTTCAATTTTCAGGGAGAATCTATAAGAAATGGATTGATTATTGGTTTTATGTAATTTCAGTTTTGTCAATGAAATCAAAACAATTTTAATTTGAGCAATGATTGAAGGTATTTTGAGGACATGTTGTTTTGTCTTCTGTATAAAAGTACAACCTGTGACTGAGTATGTACTGTTGGGTGCTTTGGCGCAAACCATAGGCTTGTTCATATAGTGTCAATCTTGCTACTTTTTCGTTCTCTTATCATCTTTTGCAAAATAGGAACTTTGAAGCAAAGCAACTTGACAACTGTTCTCTTTCGTTTATAAGCATATAATGCTAATTCTGTCCTTGTTAATGCTGCTTATTTGCCCTTGTGAAAGCAGAAATTTTCCAAGCAAAATTCATTATTATCACAGATGCGCTTTCACTTTCTCACCTTTTACCTAGGCATATATTCTAGTAGATTTCTTCATTTAAACTACACATAACATTGTCAAGTCTCTAGCTATTACAGCAGGTCATGCAACCAAGGAACTATAGAACAGTGCAGGTATCACAAGCTTTTGCCATTATTCAGAGTTAGCAATATTTTTATAAATGGGAAGGGGGGCACAGAAGCATAAGTTAAAATAATTGCATGTTCGCACAGAAGCATAAGTTAAAATAATTGCATGTTCAGCAGATCTGTTATAATGGAACAATGCTTTTATATAGGGAAGTGAAATGAGTTCTATCTTTTGAGTTAATATCCTTCATTTCACTTCGTTTAGGTAACTTCTATCGAATACGTAGTGCTTTGAAATATGGGGCTCAGAAGCTTGGTCAAGTTCTTTTGCAACCAAGAGATAAAGTTGCTGATGAGGTCAGTGGATTCTTTGGAAATACTCTTGCAAGGCATTTGGCCCTAACATTCAGTGTTATAAAGGTTTTGGAGGCATCTCGTAGTATAAACGCCAATACTGTAGAAATTTTTTACCGTGCTTTAAGGGAAATGGGCCTGACTGGTATTGGAGGAGACTCTGAAGCTTTAAATCCTCTGGTAGACCTCACTGGGGATTATGACAGTCATATTAGGTGTTTGCAGTATGCTCAGCTATGTCAGAGGTTGGCTTTATCTACACCTGCATTGTCCGATCCTCCCTCATTGCCCTCTTCTATTCAAAATGAGATTCCAGGGGATACTGTTAGTCAATCAATGCCACATGGGCAGAATCAATTTTTGCGTGTGAACTTAAATTCCTTGATTGTGGATCCACCTATGCACCCTGCTCCTGATTCAGCCTTACCTGCTTTGGCTTTTGGTTCTGAAGGAATGATGCAATATGCTCAGCGACGTGGGGGGTTTGCTTCATCTACACCTTCATTGTTGGCTCCTCCCCAATCGCCTTCTTGGATTCAAATTAAAAAGCCACAGAATACTGTTAGTAGATCACTGCCACATGGGCAGAATCAATTTTCGCACGTGAACTCAAATGCCATGTCTGTGGAACCACCTATGCACCCTGCCGCTGATTCAGCCTTGCTTGCTTTTGCTTCTGAAGGTACAATTCAATATGCTCAGCGATGTCAAGGGTTTGCTTCATCTACACCTGCATTGTCCGTTCCTCCCCCATCGCCTTCTCGGAGTCAAAACAAGAGGCCACAGGATAGTGCATTGTTTGTTCCTCCCCCACCGCCTACTCAGATTCAAAACACAAAGCCACAGGGTACTTCATTGTCCGTTTCTCCCCCAATGCCTTCTCGGAATCAAAACAAAAAGCCACAGAATACTGTTAGTCAATCAATACCTCAAGGGCAAAATAACTTTTCACAGGTGAACTTAAACCCCGAGTTTGTGGAACCACCTTTGCGCCCTGCTGCTGTTTCGGCCTTTCCTTCCGCTGCTTTTGGTTCTAAAGGGATGATGCAAAGTGCCCAAAGAAACACTTGTTTCCCAGATACTGTAAGCTTGCTTTATTAACTTGCATGATCTCTTATGCTCTTTTATCTTTTGGTTTATGTTCATAATTTAGCAGCGATCATTCCTCTATAGGAAAAAATTGATGTCTTGCGGAGTCATAGGAATGAGTCAGCTCTGACTTCTCACAGATCAAATTCTTCTACAAACACTAACCGTGAAGTCAGGCATGCACGAAGCAAAATTCGAGGAAGGAGATCAGACGCACCCTCCCAACCTCCTTTTTCTTTCAAAGATGATAATCATGCCAGTGATTCCTCAAGTTCTTCACATAGAATTGAATTTGGAACAATCGGAGATCTGGCGGAAGACTTGATATCAGACCCTTCTCTCTCTTGGGGATTCTCTAAGGAAGCACAGGGTTCAAAAGCAGTGCCCAAAAAGGAAAGGTAAGAAATTTTTTTTGTCCTACTCCCTGGCCACGGAAAATATATTAGACTTCTTCAGAATGATGGTTAAGCTGTACAGAAGAGTGAAAAGTGGTAACTTCAGATGCTAACGAAACCATAGGACAGTGAGCATACATAATTGGATTTTTAATTTTTCCTTCATTTGGGTCATTTCCTGAGTCGCCATCGTTAACC